GCAGATTGGGTAACAGTCAAACTTTAAGCCACAGCCTGAAACCAAGATTTTAACAGAAAGTAAGAATGGACTAGAATAACAGCTCAAGTTTCTCCTTTAAAATGCTATTTATTTTTTTAAAGCTCTCTTAATAAAGTGCCTGAGGTATATTTCCTCAGCTATTTGCAAAATACCACTTTGCAGCTAAGCACACTATAAACTGTCCTATATCTTGTTTCTTTTCAACGCTCCAATAAAGGGCTTTGCCTGCTCTCCTCTTATTAGGATCACATAAATCAAAGTCTATTAAAGGCCAAGCTTGGTAACCTGAAAAACACAACTCAATGCAATGAGAAATGTTGTTATGGTTGCTGTTGTGCTAGCTGAAGTAAAGGAAAACTTTAAAAAAAAAATTCAAGGGCCAGAACACAACTATGTATATTAGAAATGCGAATAATCTAATATGCACAACTGTGCATGTTAGAATTAGAAATACTTTGTGTCTCTAATCACACTTGGCCAAATAAAGCTATTCTATTCTATTCTATTCTATTCTATTCTATTCTATTCTATTCTATTCTATTCATCTTAATTTAATTATATATCAGTGCTGTCTTTAATGGTTTATATAGTTAAAAATAAAGCTAATTAAGTAAATTTATTAAGGACTGTGGTACATGTTTATATTTCTCAAAATCATTGCATGTTTACATGGATCAATTCTACACCACTTTCATGAAAATTCAATAAGGCATTTTATTGTCTCATTTGAAAATGCATAGGGACTTCTGTGCAACTAAGCCTAAAAATTCAAGCCCCACAATACACAATTAGGATGGTGCTCCTGAGATCTGCATGGCTTAAAAAACACATAAAATATAGGCTCTGCAATATATTTTAAGTGATTTAAAAGCACAGGGTATCATACAATCCTTTTATATACAGTACAGGGATTCATATTGCCCATTGTCCAAAAAAGAGAAAAAAAGGCTTAGTGTTTGGTATGAGGTATGAAAAGAACAAAGGCACCTGCTTCTGTTTTTTAAATATAACTCCCGGATTTTTCTTGACCCAATTCATGTAGTTTTCATGGTATCAATGTAGGAAATGGTCCGGTACTGCCTTGTTTTGTTTGTTCGTTTTTAGTGTTCAATTTAGCCAAAGTTCTGAGATTTTTACGGTAGTCTTCCATCCAAGTAACAACAACGTCAACAACAATAACAACTGGGTGCTGCCACATAGTGCACTTTTGTACACTCTTAAAAGAACATTAACATGATGTTCAGAAATCCCTCACACAGGTTGCATGGTTCAGAGACATCCCACTCCCTCTTATAACGCGTCTACTTTTAAGGATGAAATTTATTCTCCGCAAAATCTTTTTCATCTCCCTCATTCTTGGACCAACTTCATTCTTTCTAATTGGGCCCATCGGAGTAGATCCACCACATCATAGCCAAGGTCCATGTATTTCCTATCATTCATACACAGCTCTTTACAACTGTATCACTCAGGGTCCACTGAGAAATCAGTCGGTGTGGAATGCAAGCGTACGGAAAGCCACCTTTACTCCAATGGCTCTTCAACTCTGTCACCCCCTAAAATGATAAATGAGTTTGTGTGTTGAGTGTTCCTGTCAAATCAAAACATTGATTTCATCAGTGTTAAGGATGCACAAAGAATACATCTGTCACTTTTAATAATTCAATTTTACTTCATATATCACACAAATCTTTAAAGATTATAGTACAGCAACTGTTCCCTGTGGGCTCACTCAAACAAATGAGCAGTGGATTTTGACAATGCTCTCATGTTTTCCGCACAAGTCCCATTATATATATATATTTTTACAAAATTGTGACACGTTAGGTTGCTTGAGACTCTCCAATGGAGGGAGGTGGTGGTACTGAGAGAACCCCAACCCACACTCTGAGAACTTCCATTTTAACCCATTTGATTTGCAGGACCTCTTGAAATAATTATAGTTAAAAAATAGCTTACCACAAAGGGTTGCAGTTTACTTTTTCATTTGGACACTGAAATAGCCAATGCCTAGTCCTGGCAGCTATTTTTTAATTCCTCAAAAAAGGCAAAGGAGCTACTATCAAGCCTTCTTTGTAAAGCTGATGTTGTTTCAGAAGATAATGGACTTCTCCTTGGGGAATTAGTAGGATGTTAATTACAATGATCTCAGACGTCTGACATTTCAAATTAATTCACTTCTGAACTATGCTTGAACAACTTGCCTCTGTCAAATTTTCTGAACATCAGAAGACTCCAAAGTCAACAAAAGGCTGAAATATCCAGTTTTTGATTCAGGATCGTTGGTACCACTTTGAGAAAGATAATCTTCACTTGAGGCCTTATATTCCACAATTCTTGACAGGTCCTGCTACATTTTCAGAAATGCAACCTGCAGGAAAACAAAATGTAGCCCTCAAATTAGCATCTACAAAGTTAAGCTTTAACACATACACACTTATACAGACACCCATCCACAAATGAACAAAACCATTCTCAATAAGTTATAGTCAGATAAACAGTGCAGACAAGTGTTCCAATCACTTAGAAAGAGGAAAGTGTTCTGAAGAAATGGCATTTTCACTTTTATCTCTTCTGACTTCCGAGTGTAGATTGAAATCATAAATTGCACTGCATATAATGTGACATCTGCTACTAACATCAAGCAGGTACAGACATTTTCACTTTATGAAACAAAGAATAAAAAAAAAAGCTCTGTGTTGAGATAGTCAAATTCCTTCCAAAACTTAATGTGCCCTGAAGAATCTCACTGATAGAATCTGGGCATTTAATTCCATGTTTACCCATTTAGTAAATTAATACAATTCCTATGATGAGTTACCCAATTTATGAAATAAATCATTCCCGGCCAAAAATTCAAAGAAATTTTAATCACTAAGATAAAATTATAGGATGAATACAGAAATAAAATCAGCAAAAGGGGATTGCTAATGATTGCATGTCAGTTAGTGTACTGGTTCCGATGGCACTTTTCGAAAGCAGTGCAAAAACATTCTTGTTTGGCTCGCTTTGCAAGCTGGGTTTTAATATGCACGAGGGCAGTTTTTGATAGGATGCTTCTTAGATTTCATCTGTTATGTTCTGCTTCAGTACTACCTGATTTTTTTTTTCAAATAGGGCAGGCAGTAGAAATCTGTATCAATAAATGTCAAAGCAAAGGTGAATTAATTTTATGCATCATTAAGAGATTAGTGAAAACTGAACAAACCCTCCCCCCCCCCAAGAAAAACAGATCTAGGACTACATGAAGGTAGCAGGAAGAGCCTTGTAACATGGAACTTGATCTCCCCCTCCCTGTTTGTAATTTTTGGAACAGTGATGTTTTGCTTTCGGAGATAATTAAAGACATAGTGCTTCTCTGTGGCTCTGATACCAATATTATTCTATTTGCCATGTTAGAAAATTTCATGTTGTCTCGGTTCGTATTAAGATGTCCCACATATCAAGGAAAATAGCAAAGAAGGCAGCTAACTGAAGGCATCCTTTACTCATAGTAGTAGTAGTAGTAGTAGTAGTAGTAATAATAATAATAATAATAATAATAATAATAATAATAATAATAATAATAATAATAATAATAATAATAATAATAGTAAAGTTGGAAGGGACCTTGGAGGTCATCTAGTCCAACCCCCTCCTCAGGCAGGAAACCCTATACCATTTCGGACAAATGGCCGTCCAGTCTCTTCTTAAAAACTTCCAGTGTTGGAGCATTCACCGCTTCTGGAGGCAGGTTGTTCCACTGGTTAATTGTTCTAACTGTCAGGAAGTTTCTCCTTAGTTCTAGGTTGCTTCTCTCCTTGATTAGTTTCCATCCGTTGCTTCTTGTCCTGCCTTCAGGCGCTTTGGAGAATAGCTTGACTCCCTCTTCTTTGTGGCAGCCCCTGAGATATTGGAACACTGCTATCATGTCCCCCCTCGTCCTTCTCTTCATTAAACTAGACATACCCAATTCCAGCAGCCGTTCCTTATATGCTCCAGTCCCCTAATCATCTTTGTTGCTCTTCTCTGTATTCTTTCTAGAGTCTCAACATCTTTTAGTGACAATGAAAGTTAAAAATTACAGGTAACTGCAGAAGCTGATAACATGGGAAGTGCTTTATTCTGGTCTGACCCATTGGTCCATCTAACTCAGCATGCTATGTCAGTGGTGGCGAACCTATGGCACGGGTGCCAGAGGCGGCACTCAGAGCCCTCTCTGTGGGCACGCGTGTCGTCGCCCCAGGCCTTCAGCTGGGTTTTCTAAAACCTTTTCGCTTTAGGCCTCCGCCGCCGTGTGCAAAAAAAAAAAAAAAGGTTCACTCAGTCAATTTCAACTTCTTGCAGGGAAAAAAAAAGATCTTGCAAAGTTGGAATTGATTGATCGAACTTTTTAGTCACACCCAATCTTCCGTTACCATCACAGCCAAGCCCACCCAATGGGCCATGGCCACCCAATTGGCCACACCCACCCGGCACTTGATGATGCATAAGTGGGTTTTGGGTTGCAGTTTGGGCACTCAGTCTCTAAAAGGTTCGCCATCACTGTGCTATGTCTTCAGTTATACGCAGCTAGCGCAAAAGGTCTTTCTGAGCCCTATTTGAAGATGCCTAAGACTGAGCAATGGTTTTCTGCATAGAGAACAGGTGTTCTTTCTTTCTTTTAATGAGCTTACTTATGAATAGACATGCAAATAGATATTCCTGGGGTTTTTTTTCTGTGAAATACAAGCAGGTTCCCCAAAATTCAAACACAGTGAAGGCATTTGAAGCTATTTTTAAGCCAAGAAAATGCCAAGATTTTTAAGTATGCAATGCTTTTGCTACGCCACTGAACATGGATCCTTCTGTTACATGATTTTTTTCAGAATTCTAAATGTCCTTGCATTGTTTTTGCTCGCTGCTTCATGCCACTACATAGATCAACTATTTGTTTGAATTAGCTACATATTTGATTACTGTATTACTGCTCGCAAAAGGAGATCCCCTACTGATATTTACTTGGATTACAATACCATACCTAACCTACATTTTTATTTCCAAACTCAGAATATTAGTTATCAGGCAAGATCCCTTTTATATTGCTTTATCAAGGGAAGATTACTTTTCTCAGCTAGCAATATATGGAATTGTCAAATTAGCAATCATTATTAGGGAGCATTTTGAAAATGCTTAGGAAGAAACCTGCTTTCAACTGTAATGGCATCTTTCACCATGTAATAGCAATAGCAAATGCATTTAGCCTTACATACCACTTCATAGTGCTTTAAAGCCCTCTCTAAGCAATTGACAGAGTCGGTATATTGTCCCCAACAATCTGGGGCAGTTTTATTTTATCGACTTCGGAAGGATGGAAGGCTGAAGGCTGAAGGCAAGCCATCAGAATCGAACTCTTGGCCGTGAGCAGTGAGTTAGCCTGCAATACTGCATTCTAACTACTGCGCCACCATGGCTTCTTTGGCAGATGCTGTAGTTTGTTTAGAAAAGCTGGGAAACAAAAGCTCATTGTCAAGGTTCCAATAGACAAAACCAAGTAAATCAGAACTCCGAGGCCAGAGATTTCCTCAAAGAACATGTTTATTGGTTACATAGTATCGGCACGGTCAAAAGTGAAACCAAGTCTGAAGTTCCCTTCAGAAAGCAACAACATTGCAAAGTTGAACTTCCCACCCCAGACCTATACAATTAGCTACATTCTCCAATAGAAGAGCTTGGCGGGCTTTCTAACTAAATGCTCCAGCCCCTATCTAACTGACAGAAATGACCTTGGTTCCCATGGGACAGTAAAATGTTTAGACTAGTAGAAATCCTCCATCATCCTCCATCTCCCTCCCAATCATGTGGCAACTAAGAACAAAGGAAATGGCTGCAGCCAGGTTCGTTGTAGAGTTGGCACTCATTCTTGATAGCCACTACTTCAAGAAAACAAGGCCTTCCAAATTTTGTGGAATTGGCAACAGAGACGTTAGATACAAGAAATGAATGAGAAGGTTAAAAAAGCTCAAAGTCAAAGGAGAAACCAAAGTTTTTGATGGCAAATAGAATGTCTGGTTTGAAAAAAGCCAACACAGTCCTAGGCTATATTAACAGAGGGATAGAATCAAGTTCATGAGAAGTGATACTATCACTTTATAATGCCTTGGTAAGATCACACTTGGAATACTGCATCCAATTTTGGTCACCACAATATAAAAAAGATATTGAGGCTCTGGAAAGAGTGCAGAGAAGAGCGACAAAGATGATCGGGGGGCTGAAGGCTAAAACATATGAAGAATGCTTGACACAAATTGGGTATATCTAGTCTAGTGAAAAGAAGAACTAGGGGTGACATGATAGCAGTGTTTCATTATTTGAGGGGTTGCTACAAAGAAGAGGGGATCAACTTATTTTCCAAATCACCAGAAGGCAGGACAAGAAGCAATGAATGGAAACTGAACAAAGAGAGAAGCAACCTAGAACTAAGGAGAAATTTCCCGACAGCAAGAAGAGTTAACCAGTGGAACAACTTGCCTTCAGAAGTTGTGGGTGCTCCAACACTGGAGGCTTTTAAGAAGGGACTGGACAACCATTTGTCTAAAATGCTATAGGGTCTCCTGCTTGAGCAGGGGGTTGGACTAGAAGACCTCCAAGGTCCCCTCCAACTCTGTTATTCTTTATATGATAAAAGAAATGGATTTATTTTTCAACACTGCCCTCTTGGCTGCAAAAAAGGCAGCAATTCAATGTGACACATGAAGAACTGACATTAGTCAGAGTTTTTTTTTTTCTCCCCAAAGAAAAAATAAGTTTCCAAAGTGCCTGTGAATTTTAGCTACTTTTTAAAATGTTACTAGCATAGAAGTTTTAATATCAGCCAGGAACAATGATGTTTATTCAGTGACCAACAATCCTCCACATGAGATAATCTGCAGTTATATCAATTCAGGAACATTGTCCTCTCCCCCAGTTTGACAACTGATTTGTCAAGTGAATGGAACAAATCATAATCTTCAAAGGAAAGGGTGACCTCTATGGTGAGAGGAACTACTTTTTGAGGGAAAATGTGTCACCTGAAACATGTTTTCATTGCACACAATAAATCAAAGCAAACATTCCTCCCAGTCTGAAAAAATAATAACTTTTTACAAAATTATCTTCATAAAGTTAAGATAACTTTCTGTGGCTCATCCCAGAATAGGAAAGCTGAAACATAAATGCACATATAAAAAAAATACAGATAAAGCATTCCATTTGTTTTACCAGTCAAGTTCCTCTAAAATAGGCAACATTCCAATACGAACTTGAGAGTTTCTCTACTGAATGCTTGTATGTCACTCTAATTTCAACTTCTGATCTTTCAGGAGACGGAAAAGGAAATCACTACAAAATTCTATTGATTTTTATGCTGCAATA